GATGGGGAAAGCCTAGTACGACCGAAGTTTTGAAGACTGAAGGCGAGAGTGCTAAAGCTATTGCCTATTGACCAATTTGAGCCTATTGGGATATGAATGTTCTACCGAGATGTTACGGCACGGATGTGCTCAAATCACATGACGCAATGCATGACATGTGTGCCCCACAAATTTCAGCCAACCATGACATGATCAGTGCCAAGGCCTCACGGTCAACCCTAGACTCTCGCTCCTACTGTACCAATTACCACTGGTAATGGCACCCAATACCATTTTTTCTGGCCCGTGTACCCTTCTTTCCGGTCCTTTAGTTTTGGGTCCGGATACAGGAATACTTGGCACGTGCGCCTTCCCCAGCTCACGAAGCTCTCAGGCCAGGGCTTCAACGCGAAGCAGGAGGACCAGGGACCCTGACGGGATGATCTCATTATCTCCTTGCTTGCGCGGGGACTGCCATTGGGTACTGGGCAGGGATCTAGACCAATTACGGTTAGTATATCCATTTACTCACCCAGGATGATATAAGACATTAACCCGGTCCCATATAATTTACTGGAGATTTAGATAGTACTCTAGCAGTGGGACAAGTACCAAATGGCAGTCCCCGCGCAAGCAAGGAGATCTCTCTGGGGAGTGAAAACTGCGTTAATCCATTGCCGTTTTTGGTTTTGATGGAAACCCTTGTCCAAGACGGGATTGTTTAACCGGCTATAGCCACAACAGCCCCGTCGCAGGGGTCAAATCTTATAGGCAGGGCGGACTTAAGCACATGCTAGATAGGTGCCTAATTGCAGGTAGCTAATCAAGTCGTGGCGGGACATATAGGTATTAGACCTTTAGTTGCACTTATTCGGCAGGCGGGTATAGGGGTAAGCGATCCCAAGGGCGGGGAAGCGTTTATTTAGCTTAGAGGAAGACGTATATTATATACTAAGAAATCATAATGGGGTAGTTAGAGGGGAATCTGCCTACTTAGCAGTAAGTGCAATTAAATTAGAATTATTAGCCGTGGTATCTTATATCTTGCCTTAGTTTGAGGTAGTACTAAAGTATAACAGTCAAGGTTCCCAATGTAGTAAACCGTAACCTGATTTGGTTTATATTAGTAGTTGCAATAAGGCGTAACGTACTAAGTATAGGGTAGCAAATTATATCTAATAATATTAAGAAGTATTCTTAAGTAATTAAGTTATATTAAAAGCTAGAGAGCTATCTAGATATAAGAAAGTAAAAATAAGCAAGACTATATATACTTATTCTGTTACAATTCGTGCCCGTAACAGCGTTATAAGGCTCTATAAGGCAGCTGTGGCATACCTATAATTGCTTGCATAGCGATTATGGCCCGATCTTTTGCCCTAGTGTCGCGTACCCACATTCCGCGCACCCCCACCTTCTGCGTACTCCCTGCGACTGTAATTTCCTAACCCCCTAATTGTAATTCTCCCCAAAACACCATTAAATAATATCAGAAAAATTCCAAATTTTCACCATGGTGACTCCTAAAGAAGCTCGATAGATTGATCTTAAAGAAATCCAAGAAAGGCTAAAGAATGGCGAGTCTTTACGTTATTACGCAACCTTATATAGGAAAAACGAGTCTACGCTCTGTAGTCAATTGAAAGGCGCCCAGACAGCTCAAAAAGGTCAGGAAAGCCGTCAATTGTTATTGCCTGTATAAGAGAAGGAAATTGCCGACTTTTTAAGGCATGAAGAGCGTTATAGGCGCGCCCTTTCGAGAAGTGAGCTATATAATCTTGCTAATGGGATTGCGAACCCTAATGCGATTGGAATCACGATCGGGCGTAACTGGCCAGATAGATTCTTATAATGCTATACGGATATCAAAATAAAGTTATCTATATATTTAGAAGCCGCTTATTCTAACGATACTACTCCTGTCCTCCTCTGATGCTTCTACGATATGTTATTATCGACTGTTAAAGAATTGGGGATCATACCGTTAAGGATGTATAATATGGATAAGCACAGACTTCAGGAAGGGCTCACAAAGTCAGGAAAGGTGCTTGGTGATAACCTTATAAAGCGGGCTATTATTATAGAGAGCGATTAGCGCAATTAGGTGTCGATTTTGGAGTTAGGAAATGCAGAAGGAAGAAGACTATAACTGACTGTAGTTTTCTAAGGAGATTATCTCCAAGAATAGTGGTTTCTAGAGCATTTTCCCGACTAGGGATATAATATTAGTGAGATAGGCTGGGCAACTTAAGACATCTGTCTGAAGTGGCTCCGGGAGACCTTCCTACCGCATACAAAGCCTAAAAACCCGCTCGATTAGAGACTTCTTATAGTTGATAGATTTACCGGTCACGTCTCTATTTAATTCTGATTTATGGCATTATTTTATAAAGTATAGATCCTGTATTTGCCGCCGCATTCTTTATATGCCACTTAGCTGTTTGATGTTGGTGTTTTCGGCCTGGCGAAGGCAATTTTTAAGCGCCTTGCGAAGCTATATGCCGGCTTTAACGCCACGGCGCCAATTTATAAACAGCGCTTTATTTAGATATATAAAAAAGCTATAGATGAAGCTATTATAGAGAGGAATATATAAGCAGGCTTCAGAGGCGCTGGAATCTGGCCAATCTTGTTGAAAAGGGCGTTGGAAAACGTTGTTACAGCTTCTTAAGCACTGGCTTAAAATGACGCCCCTAGGACCCCTTAATACTAAAGGGTAATATTACGGGTTATGCTATATATACTAAAGAGTGGAAATGAACTAATATCTCAGTTAAAAGAGCTCTAATTACAGAAAGAAGGGTATAAGAGGAATCTCCATTACCTGGGGACCAAGGCTGCCAAAGAGCTGGATCGTTTGAAGGCCCAAAACACCATAGAAAGGCAGAAATTAACTTTTCTGCAGATAGAAATAGACTTATAAAAGCCATAGCCTCGATAGAAGGTCGTTTGGCACCCCTAAGCCCGTTATCTAGGGCGCGAGGAGATTTAACATGCCTGATAGCTAAAAAACAAGAGGCTTATAAAGAAGCAGAAAAGGGAGGCTGAAAAGGCAGAATCTAGGAAAAAGAACGACACTATTGTAGTTGCAGACGAGAGCAGATTATAATTCCATTTTGCGCTATTTAATTTACATATGAATTGATTGAGATATTATATATTGAAGTCATCACGATGATTGAAGGTGGTGCGCGGAAGGGGGGTGTGCGCGGAATGTGGGTACGCGACACTATGGCTTAACGGCTTGTGCAACCGTTACACGATAATCGCTACTAGCGGGTGGCCCGAAGGTCAAGGGTTCGATTCCCCCTTGCAGCCTTTGGTATAGCTGCTCACAAGGGTGCCTACGTAACGCAGTGGGGCAACTACGGGGTACGCCTTGGGAGGTTGGCAGCTGCACCGCACAGGACTTAGTTCCCCCTGTGGCGGCCGGCTTCAGCAGGCTTTGAGGACAAAAGCCCCTAAAGAGGGAGCATCGTGTTACGATTCGTGCCCGTAACAGCGTTATAAGGCTCTATAAGGCAGCTGTGGCACACCTATAATTGCTTGCATAGCGATTATGGCCCGATCTTTTGCCCTGTGGCTTAACGGCTTGTGCAACCGTTACATATTCTGATTTACTTAGTTAATCGTGGTCAAACGCGCTCTTATTTAACCTATTTAACCATTGAAGGTTAAGGTTTCACTTTTGGTCGAACGTGGTCGAACTCGTTCCCATTCGACCAGTTCGACCATACACTACTTCCACCGGGGCCTGTTTGTTCCATTCCGAGCTCCGATGTTTTCTGTTTGTATCCTGGTTAATCTTCCTACTCGCATAAGAGCAAGGAGTGGCAGGAGTATGCGGCTGCTACTGCGGTGGCGTTTACAAAGCTGTTGCTGCGGGAGGTGGCTTCGAGGATGACTGGGTAGGATTCTCGTTGGAACAGCAGAGAACTTCCGTGGAAGAGGGAATCGTGGACGCCGTTTTGAATCACCCGGTGTCATGACGCCATGTTGGATCGAGTTTGGAGTTGACCCTGCTTCGGAGTATAGAGTTGACGTAAGGCAGCTATAGATTCAGACTACTGTGAAATACTCGAGTAACTCACGTTGCTTCCTACGACGGTGCTTTTGCTTCTCGAAAAGCGACTCAAGAAAGCCCCCATCCATGAATTCGTCAACAAACGCCTCCCCAAGAATCATGTAATGCTCACTGGATTCCGCCGAAACTGGTCTGAGAATTTGCGGTACCCCGGAACCAGCAACAATAACAATCCTATCGCCTTCCCTAGTAGTATTGGGGACCAATGCCATTCTTCCACCCTCAGTCACGGCAAAGCGTCTTTTGGAGGCCCACATGAGTATTGCAGATTCGATGGCAGCACTCTGCGTCCGTCTTTTTCTGTCATCGTCCGTAATGACCAAATCTGGTACACGTAGGTAAGAACTATCCATGGCTGGTTGATGTATCCATCCCAATAAGTGTAGATACTTGTGGAACCACGAGCCAAAGTGAGGAGGCGCTTGTACCCCTTGGCCTGTCAACCCTGCTGTCATGGTTCTCCAGAACGATCTTTTGCAGCTGTAGTTGGAGAACATGCCCTGGTGCGCAGAGTAGCCCAGACGCAGACAGCTATCTAGCCATCTTTTGTTGGCTGCCAGGACTGGGGCGGAGTAGCCCTCTAAAATCCCACTCTTGTTGAAAGTCGAACGCGGACCAACTCCTTTTACAACATCGACAGCCACTCCAGACAGGATGAGTTTGTCATCTTCTGTGACTCTGGGCTCATCTGGCGCCAGACGCTGGAGGCTGGCACCTGATTTAAAGGAGATCTTGTTCATGTATCGAACAAAGGGTGTTTCGTTGTCGATTCTCGTCCAGTCCGGAACCCAAGATGGTAGCCCTTCAAGCTCCTCGGTACCTGGGGTGTCGCTCCTTGTTGTACATGACAGGATGTCCAGATTTCCCCTCGCAATGCTCCATCGGGCAAATTTGGTAAAGACATCCCTTGCGCTCAGATGATAGTCCGGCCCGAAGCTCTGAATGTCTCGATCGAGATTGTAATCGTCTGCTAGGTTCAGGACGGCATAAATTTTGTCTCTGACATCTGAACATTCTCCAGAATGGGTCGCCAATAGGACCGACAACAAGCTTCGCTGCTTCCGAGCCACCGTACCTCGTCTTGCAGTCTCCATTTCGACGACAGCTAGCACACCGACGTGTGCCGTTTTTGAAAGGTGATCCAGGAGTAGTCCCGAGTGGTTGAGGTAGCGAACCAAGCGTGCGAGAAGCTCCCACTCGATCGTCCACTTTCCAGAAACGATAGTCACCCGCTTGGCGTGCGCAACTTCTTGGAGAACCCACAAGCGCCTGAACCATGGTCTCTCGAGAACCTTTGTCAGGGAGACCAGGTCCGCCGCCAAGAGATGGTTATGGCCCTCCGCGATGGCAAAGTCGAACCCAATGGTCTGCCAATCGCTGCTTGAGCCGGAAAATAACGACGACCGAGTGAATGTCTTAGCCAATAAGTAGTAGAAGTTTGGCTTGAACGACGTCAAGGATTTGAAAACCCTGCTGACGGCCTCGTCTTCCGGTCCAAGCCAGACCAAGACTTCTCGGGCTTCAGAGTAGATGGTCTTCATGTTCCTGACTTGGTGGCCTCGCTCGTTGAAGTCATCTTGATTGATGCACAATGCGTCGATCCAGAGCATCCTCTCTCGATCAGGATCTCGCAGTTGTAATAGAGCACCGTAGAGGTTTGATGCTACCCCAAGTTCATGCCCATTGCATCGAATCCTTTCGACCTTCTTTGGGTTCCCCCAGGTATATGACAGTGCCGCGTATGGGACCCTGTCAGAGTGATTGCAAATGCATAGTCTACACGTGATCTCATCATCTCTTGCTCCCGGCTCGAGGACCAGAACGCGAAACTCATCCTCCCCGAGCGGAGAGTAAACCACCTCAGTTGGTGATCCATCTTGCCATAATCGCCTAATCGCCTGGTGTTCTTCGAGAGCGGCTTGACGCTTGTCGGCATAGTCGTATGACGCTTCTATTAGACTGAAGCATCCGGCGAGTAGGCAGGAGGTTCCAAATGGCAGCAACACCGAGGCAGAAATCAAGATGACGGCCGCCCAAAATTTTGACACAGCTGTTTCACTCCACCGGGGAAGCTGGCTTGTCGTAGAGAAGGGTGCTTGTGGTGGATTCTGTAGAGATAGTCTGGCCGGGGCAGAGAAATATCCAGACGGTCTACAACCGTGCGATGAAGGAATGCGTATTCGTGTCTCGTATGGGGGATTTTTCTGAAGAGTAGACGCCAAGGCTAGCACAGACTTCTTAGCCCACCGGAGGCCGTTGAGCGGGGTAAGGGTGAGAGGCGCAAGGACTCGGCGTCCTGGTCGGATGGTGTTAGGCGACCACATTTTCGCTGCTGATGTACAGATGCTGGCTTCTACCCTCATCGAGGAGGGCAGTAGGAGATGGAACTCTAGGTTTATTATTATACGTCTCTTACTTCACCGTGCTTGAGCTACTCTTATATCTGACCAAGGGGAAGTACTGGAAAACAAAGTACCTGGCTGGCAACAGCCTGGCATGTGATCTCAGCCAGCGACGCACTGCCATTCACTGATTGGATGCTCAGCCACAGCCAGACAAAAAGTGCAAATCTAGAGTTTTGAGGTCTTGTTTCCAACCTCTTTTCATTTAAAAATCCGACGGTAAAACCAACGATCCCTCAGTCAGGGTAAACATCTGTAAACGCCGCAGAGTGAAGTATTGGCAGCCTACTTGGGTGCAAACCCATGCTGTTGTGATTGTGAAAGCCCGCCCGCGATGGAGCGCGACAACGAGGAGAACTTGGTGCTTGAGCAAAAGGAAACGCAGACTGAGCCTGATTCGGGGCCAGAGCAAATATGGCGAAAGCTAGGCCTGCAGGGCAAAGAAGAAGCAGACGCCGAGAGTCTTCGTAAGGGATTACGGCTGATTGACCACCGTGGGTGTTGCTTGGCTCCCCTGTTTTGTATGCATCTGCCGACGTACTGATTACCGCTCTAGCTCTGGGGAATGCGGACAAACGACTTATTGGCCTCGTACAGGCCATGGATAGGAATGGCGATGGCAAGATTCAGTACGAAGGTGATAGACCGACGTGAAGTGAGAGCTGGACCTAATAATAACGTCCTGCCAGAGTTCAAGGTCTTTGTCCAAGAGGCAGAACAGCAGCTGAAGCTCCTATTCGAGTCTATTGATCGAGATCGCGATGGATTGCTAGGGAGAGCCGATTTGCAGGCTGCCTTTCGTGAGGCGGGCCTGTCTGTGCCTACACGCTGGCTCACCGAGTTCTTCAATGAGGCTGACTTTAACTGCGATGGCTATATAAGCTTAGAGGAATGGCTGTAAGGCCTTCACTACCTCTTACCGTTTCCTTCAGCGTTCTTTCTCGGCAAGATTCTGGATCACGGATTTGCGAAGCCTAGACTGACAGGGGATTTCCAGGGATTTCCTCCTCTTCATGCCGGCCTACGATCCTTCCTCTCCGCTGCGTGCAGTGCTCACCTTCTACTTAGCTATTGTTACGCTTCAGCCCTCATACATCCTCTATGACGCCGCCAACGACCTCCGTGATGTCTTGTTACTGCCACAGGCAGAGTCTCCTCCGAGAAAGTTGGAGCTGACTGTCATAGTCCCAGACCCAAGCTATTTCATTGCTGGAGCTTTTTCCGGGGCCGCTTCAAGAACCATAACTGCTCCCCTCGACCGCCTCCAAGTCCACCTCCTCATCGACACAAGAACTCAGAACACTCTTCTTGGCAATATCTTGAAGACTGGCAAGTTCTGGAGCAGCCTGAAACGCCCTTGCAACCCCATCTCGGAAGGGATCAAGGACTTGTACCGGATAGGCGGACTCCGCACATTTTTGTCGGTACGTGGTTTTGCAGACGGGATATCATCCTGCCCAATTTTTCTTTAATGCAAATATGTTTGCACAATAGATGACTAGCATGGCGTAGGCAATGGTTTGAACGTGATCAAGATCGGGCCCGAGACTGCAGTCAGGGTTGGTTTAACGATCAGCTAAATGTGGATGTATGCTGACCCGATCGACCAGTTTGGCTGCTATGAACTGGCAAATCGAGTCCTGGCGCATTTGGAGGGCCATGACAATGCAAGAGAAATCAGTCCTATTTCCAAGTTTTTTGCAGGTGGCATTGCAGGCGTAACTGCACAGTAAGCAACACAACCTACTCACTTGGGAGAACCATAGCTCATGGCATAATAGATGTAGTGTATATCCCATCGATACACTTAAGTTTCGGTAAGCAAGGATACATACCTACTCTTAGTATCGAAGATGCTGACAGGCAAGCAAGCATGCAATGTGAAACCGTCCAACACGGGCCTTGGGGAAGGGCCCTCCTCAAGCGGACCCTCAGGACGACACATGCCAAAGGAGGATTCCACGCATGGTATCGGGGCCTTTCTCTGGGACTCGTTGGGAGGTTTCCATACAGCGCTATCGACATGGTCACCTACGAGATGCTGAAGGATGCCTACAAGGCACATGCGGCACGAAGACTTGGTGTCGAGACAGATGACGTCGTCCCTGGCAATTCCGCAACGGGAGTGATCGGGGCGTCCTCAGGGTCGTTTGCTGCCACGGCCGTGTATCCGTTGAATGTGCTCCGCACACGGTTGCAAGCTGAGGGGACTTGCCTACATCCTCGTCTCTACACGGGCCTCTGGGATGTTACCAGAAGGACGTTCAAGACAGAGGGCGTCCGAGGATTCTTCAAGGGCTTAACACCAAATTTGGCAAGATTTGCACCTGCACTTAGTATCACGATGATCACGTACGAACACATGAAGAGGTTATTAGGCATTTGGGGATAGTATTGAACTAGAGCCGTGGGAACATGGATATTTAGGCAAGGAGGGAGACCAGACATGTCTCAACACTAATAAAACCCCATGAGTACTTCTTCCTGGAACTGGGTCGTGTCTTGCAGTATCGCAGAAGTCAACAACCCAAGGATGTTGGGGGTTTACGTATCCCAGTGTTTGTGACAAGCCGTGCTCTGAGCGGGGCCCGGTTTTTGCAATCTGAAGACCTGATGGATGATGGATGATCAATGATGGGTTTAGGTTGTCGGTTTTCGGTTGTGTTTGGAAGGGCTCAGCCAATCAGACCGCGAGTAAAATGAACAGCCAATCATACCACGGATAAAACGAGCAGTCTCCACTCAGCGAGCGTGATCTCTTTACTTGGCATAGGATAAGATAAGATAAGATAAGATAAAGGGAAAACTGCAATAAATATTAATCCGGACAGATGCAACCCTCATCCTTGGAGAAGGCGCCTCTTCATTTCCTTCATGTTTGAGAATAATTATTGCCCAATAAATATCCTAGATTGAGGCACCAATTGTTTCGCGTTTGTGGATAATTTCTCTTGGACTTTCGTAGGTGACTGAAAAAAAAAGCAAGCAAGTTAGTTGACGATTGGATATGTCAAACGGTTCAGGGGAAAATCAAAGTAAAAAGGGCTGCTGCATCACAACTCCAGCCATCGTGGACGAGCGATGAAGTCAAAACGCTTGCGAACCCAGAAGATTATTGAGGCTTGACAAATTGTGCGTGAGGAAACATTCTGTTGCATTCTCGGAAGATGGGTCGCCGGGCACTTTCACTTGAAGAAAAGCGAGCACGTGCTCGAGAACGCAGACGAAAGCAAAGGCTCAAGCAACAACACCCAAACCAGCAGATCGGATGTGTCTAACACTATTCGCATCACTCTATAGCCTTCCAGATGAACAACGCTAATAATACACTCCTAGTTACCGAAAGTATGGTTTTACCTAGTCCCGATGAAGCTTTCCCCTATTATCATTGCCCTTCGCTTTCTCTTTTCTCATCCTCCCGCTTAAATGATTGATATTTTCTTCTAACTCGACTTTAGTCGGAACGAGCATGCTTTATCCCCGGGAGACTACCCTGTACCTAGGCAACGAGCTGGAGGAACTATTATGCCGAGATAATGAGCTCACGGGGGTCACCGCTCCGCCAATAAGTTAAGCAATATCTTTCATTCCTGATTCAGAGGCTCCTATAACGACGCACGCCACTGGGGATAACACCCTATCGTCATCATCATCCACGAGCTCCCCCTCGCGACGGCCGCTTCCACACTCGTATAGTCTGATCACGGCACCCGAGACCGGCTTTATGGCAGCGCTAGCCGTGCCATTGTCCGCTTCCGACGTTGATTCCAATTACCTGGGCCCTGCACACTAGAATACGCGCCTATTCATTTTACCAGGGCCCGGTCATTCCGACTCGTTTCTAGCTGCCCGTGTAAGGCACCAACTGGAGGCTCTTCCCTCACAGTTCTATCCACATGTGCCCGGTTCCTCGGCTACGGCAGACTATAGGGGTCACTGTTGCAAAACCCCACAAACCACCGCAAGAGAGACGAAACGGGTTAGCGAGATAGGCAACCCACCCCGTAGTATATTACTCCGTATACCTTAGCGTAGATTCTTGGATTTTTTTTGCGTTATAGAAAATATAATTAAAGCAGCGGGACCGCAGCGGACTAGCAAAGCAGATTTCTATTACATTCTATAGATATTAATTACTACTATAGCAATTAAATAAAGTAATACTAATACTTAATTATCCTCTTTTATCTCTTCCTTATTTTCCTTATCCTCCTTATCTAGCTTATTAAGCTATTAAGCATCGAGTTAGTAATAAAAATATATCTAATAACTTAATCCTGCATATAATCTAAAGCTAAGTAGCCTTAGCAATAGTCTTTAGCGCTATAATCTTTTGCTCCTTAAGGCTCTTCTTAGCTATCTTGCTAAATAAAGCCAAAGCAGGAACTAGTCCTAAAGTAATAGGAAGAGCTATACTACTACTATAAGCTTGTAATTATTATACTACGCGCTATATAGTAATCTATTAGGTATTATCTAAATTAGAATTTATATACTTAAGCTACTAATTTAGCTCTTAAAAGGCATATATAGTAATAAGAGTATTAACTAAGACCTAGAAATATAGCTTTATTAATAGCTTAATACCTAAGAGTAAGTAAATATACCTTATTAGCCTATAGGTATAAGTATTCTTTATATAATCCTAATATATAGTATTAATATTTATTTTATATATATTAGTATAATAGGTATTAGGGTTAGGATAGGGTTAGTATTAACTATTTAAGCTATGTTTGCCTTAGTGTTTTTCTCTAGCTAAGATCTAGCTAATAAGATAAAAAAAGTAGAGATTTTTCTAAGATATAAGAAAATAAGATATTAGTATAAGGAAAGGAAAGGCAGATATAAGAGATATAGCTAATAAGCTAAAAAGAGAGATATAGCTAAAAAGCTAGGAAAGAAAATATAGCTAAGAAAGAGATATAGCTAGAAAGCTAGGAAAAGAGAAGTATAGCTAGAAAAGCTAGGAAAGAAATATAGCTAGAAAAGCTAGAAAAAGAGAGATATAAGGCTAAATAGCCTATAAAAGGTTTAGGAAGACCTTTTAGAGGTATTCCAGGCTAACCTAGCTAGGCCTATAAGGATTTCTTTAGCTATAAAAGCTGCTAAGATAGCCCTAGTTTTAGTTAAGGTTAGGCCTATAGTGGCATTAAGCTGGGTAGCTGCTAGGGGGCCTATAAGCTCCTAGAGCTTCTTATAAGTCTTAGCGGTCTCTAGGTCCATAAGGCCACAGGGTTAGGATAGGGTTAGTATTAACTATTTAAGCTATCTTTGCCTTAGTGTTTTTCTCTAGCTAAGATCTAGCTAATAAGATAGAAGAGTAGAGATTTTTTTTTTAGGATATAAGGAAATAAGAGATAAGTATAAGGAAAGGAAAGGTAGATAAGAGATATAGCCTAAAGGCTAGGAAAGAGATATAGCTAAAAGAGAGATATAGTATTACGACCCTAGCAGTTACGTTACGTATACCCTACAAAAACCATATAAGGCGCCAGCCTCAGAAGGACCTAGCTGCGCATTAACTAACTAATTAACAACCTTATTATATTAGAATGATAAATATTAAAACGCAGTAACCTAGGAATGCAGCGTTTTAGGAACGACTTATCTTAAGGACTTATTATTCCTTATATAATTACTTTAGTATATAGAATATACTTATTAATACCTTTATAAAACTTAACTTACTAGCTATTAATAAGACTTCTTTACCTAAATATGCCTAACCTGCTTTATTTACTATTAAGAGATATAATACTTATAACTACTTAATATAACGCCCTATAACTCTGCAAACATTAAACCTAATATAAACTAGTTTACCTATTTAAAACCTATTCTGTTATACATTAATAGCTCTTATTTAGAACATATTATATTAAATAACTAAGTAATATTATATTATTAAGATATCTAGCAATACCGGCCTAGCACCTCCTTATACCAGAGCACCCCTTAATATAGCTAAACTTATAGCCGAAGTCTAGCAGTTATGCACTACTATCCGTAACTTGCAGATATAAGTTAATAAATAGTAAAATACTGCACTAGCTAATAATAATGCTAATAAATTATAAGGATATAACCTTAAAAAGGCATTTAAGCTGCCTAAGCTAAAACCTTTTAAGGGATAGGCAGCTAATATAATCCTATTCCTTACCTAAATAAAAGGATATTTCTGCCTATTCCCTAATAAACTAAACACTACTACTAAGAAATTGCTATTTACTGCACTACTAATCTAGGGAGATGCTAAAGACTGGTTTAAACCTATTATAAAGGACTACCTTAAAAATAAAGAAAACCTATAAGACTAAGATACCTAAAATATCTTTAGAAATTAGGAAAACTTTAAATAAGTACTAAAGGATAATTTTAGAATAGTTAATAAAGAATAATAAGCTATAATAGAACTACTAGTACTTAAATAGTATAAATTATATACCGCGCATTTAGCTAAGTTTAGACAGCTTGCTACTAAAACCTAATAAGATAATAAGTCTCTTATAGAAATCTATTACTAAAGTCTAAAAGAAGATATTAAGGATAAACTATACCTAGCTAATAGACTTAATAACTTAATTATATATATTATTATAGTAATTAAGATTAATAAAAGATAGTATAAATGCAGAAAAGAGAAAGCCGCCTACTAATAAAAAGGAAGTAACTTTAACCCATATTACCCTAGCTAAGATATAATAATAATTAGGGTAACTCTTAAAATTAAGGATAGCAATAAGGGAATTGCCAAAATAACACTATATATAGCATATAGCTAGGACCTATAGTACTTAAAGCTATTTAGCCAGGCAATAATAATAATAACTAAAGGCAAGATATATTTAAGTATAAGTGCTATAACTATAACTAGTTTAGATATATAGTATAATAATGCCTAGAGCCTAAGAAACCTAAAGACCCTAATTAAGGTAAGCAGGCCTTAGGACTAATTAAATAATAAGACCTATAAATAGCTAGGTAAACCGAGATATTAGGAATACTTAGAAGCAGTTATAATACTACTGGCTTAAAGAAAGCAGAGAAACCAGAGTAGCACCCCTACCTAAATAGTTTAATTAAAGAACTGCGAGACCTATTTCCTACCTATAAGGAAGCTAATATAGAAAACCTACTAGTAAGAGATAAGGAGACTAAGAATTAGACTTAAAGAGAAAAGAATACCTATAAGAGAGCTAATAATCTAGGATATCTTGCCAAGCTAGCGCAATATAATAAAAATAAAAAGAAAAGCTTTATAATAACCTAAACTATAGGAAATAACAAAACGCTTAATAAAGGGAACTCTAAAGAATTAAGAAACTTAGAAAACTATAAGTCTTAGGAATAATAAGGCAGGGAAAGGCAGTTATCCCTAATACAGATAAC